AAACATGGACTTGATAACCCAACACAGGTAGTAAAGGTAAATTCTCTCTATAGATATGATAAAGTTGAAATCCCGTCTACTAAGTTTGCTAGCCAATGCTTGGATGAATTTGATGACTTTATGGCTAGACAAGAAAACTTCAACGCTTATGTTGGTAGACAATTAAAGAGTAATGCTTACATGATTGAGCACTTGAGTGATTATATGGCTAGAGTTAAAGGTGAACTTAAACTCATTAGCAAACATGCTTCTATGGTTAACCCTCAAGCAGAACAAGTACTTAAAGCTCAAAATGATTTGCTCAATGAATTAAATAATAAACATGACTTTGCTATTAGAGTGGCTACTAGAACGGGTAAAATGACTCAGGAACCTTTGTATCCTGAAGGCCACCCTAAGAGAATTGAGCAGAATTCTTAGAGAAATAATGTTGATGCACCTAGTCCTTCTAAAAAGAAGAAGAAGAAAAATGATAGGACTTTGCATGCTACTAGTGAACCTGTTGTAGACACACCTGAGAATCCCAATGATATTTCTATTTCAGATGCTGAAACACAATCTGGTGATGAACATGAACCTAGTGATAATGTTAACGATAATGTTCATATTGATGCTCAACCTAGCAATAATAATGATGTGTAGAGATTGAACCTGTTGTTGATCTTGATAACCCATAATCAAAGAATCAACATGATGTTAAGAGAGACTTTGTTGCTAGGAAGCATGGTAAGGAAAGAGAACCATGGGTTTAGAAACCCATGCCTTTTCCTCCTAAAACATCCAAGAAAAAGGATGATGAGGATTTTGAGCGCTTTGCTGAAATGATTGACCTATCTTTTTGCGTATGCGTTTGACTGATATGATTAAAGTGAATCCTTATGCTAAATACATGAAAGATATTGTTACAAATAAAATAAAGATACCGGAAGCTGAAATTTCCACCATGCTTGCTAATTATACTTTTAAGGGTGGAATACCTAAGAAACTTGGAGATCCAGGAGTACCAACTATACCATGCTCCATTAAAAGAAACTATGTTAAAACTACTTTGTGTGATCTTGGAGGCGGTGTTAGTGTTATGCCTCTCTCTTTATATCGTAGACTTGAATTGAATAAGTTGACACCTATTGAAATATCTTTGCAAATGGCTGATAAATCAACTGCTATACCTGTCGGTATTTGTGAGGACGTGCCTGTTGTGGTTGCAAACGTCACTATCTTAACGGACTTTGTTATTCTTGATATTCCCGAGGACGATAGTATGTCGATTATCCTTGGTAGACCCTTTTTGAATACTGCAGGGGCTGTTATTGATTGCAACAAAGGCAATGTCACTTTTCATGTTAATGGTAATGAGCATAAGGTACACTTCCCGAGGAAACAACCTCAAGTTGATAGCATCAATTCTATTGGAAAAATTCCAACTATTGTCATTGGAGGCTTTGGATTTCCTATTCCTACTGTCAAGAAAAAAATATGATATTCTTATTATTGGGGATGTGCATATCCCCGTTGAGGTAACCTAGTGTTATTCGAAATTTCTCCGGTTTCATGATATTCAGAATGAGTTTGTTAACAAGACTTGATCAACCTTGTTAGTGGATTTCTTTTGATGAGCATGAGATGGATGAAGTTAGAAGGCACAACCTTCTGTACCCTCTTTTTACTTTCTGTTATTTAGATTAAATAAAGCAAAAATAGTATTTTCAGTCTGTTTTCTGAATTATCCATGCAATAAAAAATACCTCGAAAATAAAAGTTCTCCAAATGCCTTGCAAATTTAGTATGATTTTTTCTGGAATATTTGAGAATTTCTGGCACTGAGAACACAGCAGGGGGAGCTGGCACCTGGCCACGAGGGTCAGGGGTGCGCCTTACCCCCTGGGCGCGCCCCCTGCCTCGTGGGCCCACGGTGGGCCCCCTCCACTTATTCCTGCACCCACACACTTCTTCCTCCCAAAAAATCACCATCCAGCTCAAGAACGAGTTCTAGCTCATTTTGCTGCCATTTTCGATCTCCTTTCTCAAAGCTCCATTCACAAAACTGCTTTGGGGGATTGTTCCTTGGTATGTGACTCCTCCAATGGTCCAATTAGTTTTTGTTCTAGTGCTTTATTCACTGCAAATTTTTGCTGCATACGTGACCCTGTTCTTGAGCTTGCATGTCAAATTTATATGGTCCCAAGTAATTCTAATGCATGATATAGCCTCTAGGCACTTGTGGGAGTAGTTGCTATCAAGCTTGTTGAGTTTGGTTCACTTTTATTTTGAGTTACTAAAAAATTCAGAAATTTTCAAAAAAGATGAAAAGATTTTTCTTGAGGGGCTCTTCTAGCCAACACTACTAGGAAAAGGCTTGCTAGTGGCGCACCTGTTTTGGCCATTAATGGCGCACTACAGGTGCGCCACTAGCACCACGCCATTTGTAATTAATACTAATGGCGCACCCCTAGTGCGTCATTAGTATTCTAGACAGTAGTGGCGCACCAGGGAGTGCGCCATTACTATCTGACTTAGTAATGGCGCACCACATAGAAGTGCACCATTATAACAAAAATTTTCCAATTTTTTTAGAATTTTTTTTCAAATCTTTTTTTCATTTTTTTCTTAATCTCGGGTCACTATGGCTTAATCTCGGGTCAATATGCTTAATCTCAAGTCAAATCGCACTCCGTGGTCAAACTTCTCGAAAGGTCACCCATCCTCACACTACTCCAGCCCAAGCATGCTTAACTTCAGAGTTCTATCCAACCCCAGCACCAGCTCACTTAACACGCACTTGTTGATATATCTAGCATATCAATCCTATTAAACCTTGTTGATGTCTAGGACTTTGTTCATGTTCATGAGTGTGATGAAATTTTGAAAAAATATTTCAAACTTCCGTTCATATTACGTATCATATTTTGAATATTTTTTCAAAAAAAAAATTCGAAACTAAATTTTTTTTCTGTTACTAGTGGCGCACCTAGCAAATGGTGCGCCACTACTAAGTTTGATTTTTTTTTCCATTTTCCCCCCTCTAGATCTTAAAAGCCCCGTATCTTTTTTTCTGTTAGGTTTTTGGGGATTCTAAAAATCTTCAACGATGTTCCCCCGGTTGAATTCGGATGTAACTTTTCGAGTAGATGATTTTTCATATAAAAAACTTTTTAATCCGAGTTCGTATGCAAAAGTTATGCCCATTTTACAAATTCCAGAAAGATTTTGCAAATAAAGTCGAAATTCATATTTGTAAATTTTCCCAACAACTAGACCACATATCACATGGGAAACTTATTTTATTTTATTTTTTGACAATTCTATCATTTTCTTTTATTTTTTTAAACTGAAAAGGCGGTCCACGATGGGAGGTGCATTCGGTGGAATTTTTGGGCAAAACTAGTAATGGTGCACCGTGGGTATGGTGCGCCATTACTAGTTTAACTAGTAATGGCGCACCACACCCACGGTGCGCCATTACTAGTTTTGAAAAAAAATAGTAGTGGCGCACCGAGGATGTGGTGCGCCATTACTAGTTAAAACTAGTAATGGCACAATATCCCCTGGTGCGCCATTACTAGTTTTGAAAAAAATGTTAGTAGTGGCAAACCGAGGGTGTGGTGCGTCATTACTAGTTAAACTAGTAATAACGCACTATCCCCTGGTGCGCCATTACTAGTTTTGAAACAAAATATAAAAAAATTTGTTAGTAGTGGCGCACCGTGGATGTGGTGGGCCATTAGTATTTGGACACTAACGGCATACCAACACATGGTGCGCCACTGCTATATGTGGTGCGCCATTAATGTCCATATTAACTATAGGCATTTTCCTAGTAGTGCAAGGCTCTAAGGATAAACAAAGCAAGGAGAATGAAAAGCCCAAGTATAATCTCCCTCGCGTCGCGGAAGTGCGGCCGTGTGAATGGCCTTGTGATGATTTCTTGAGAGCAGCTGGGATTCATGATGATTTTTATTCGTTGGCTGACAATGCGGGCCTCACCGACTTCCTCCATGACCAGACCAAACAGTATCTCTTACTCACCAATACTTTCGTGCAAAATTTCTACTTTTATCCTAAGAAATCACCTCCCTCAATAGAGTTTCATTTATATGATATGGCTAGGGAGATGTCACTATATGAATTTTGTACGGTTTGCAAGATACCCTTCGGGGGCAGCTTAGAGGAACCTCATCGTAAATATGTGGATGGATTTATTGATACTATTACTGTAGGGGAAACGAGGAAAGTTTCCGATTCAAGAATAACTAGCATACACTTTCCTGTTCTACGCTACTTCGCAATATTTCCTAGTAGATGCTTAATTGGTCGCGAAAACTGTGGAAACCTTAGTGTTCCAGATATTATTATCTTGTTCCATGCTTTATTTCGCGATAACTCTGTTAGTATGAGCGCTATTATTGCTAAAAGATTAAGCCTGAACCATACAAAGGGCCCCATCTTTGGGGCATCTATGCTTCACGCCTTGCTAAACACTTCAAGATACCTATTAGGCATTATGAGAAAGAGGAAAAGTTATTGCCCCCTACTTTTCTAGATTACTAGGTGATACCCCGCGCGTTGCTGCGGAAATTTTGTATTGAAGACTGGATGCAATGATCAATATGAAAAATGATGCTAGGAATTTATCTATTTGAACCATGTATGGACTGATGCATAGAGCTTTTGACATGGCATACTCTTAATTTTACAGTAATATTTAGAGAAGCCTAAGTATGGACACCAATTGGAAGCACAATTGACATAATGAACTCAAAAAACTTTGCAAGGAATTTGACTAAAAAATTTGGCATGACCTTGCCTTAATTTTCTAGCATTTGAACATGTCACAGGAAGATACTATATATCAAGAACAAAACATCACAGGAAGATAGTATATATTTGAAACAATTGTAAGGAAAAGTATTGACACCAGCTGGAAGCAAAAATGACATAATCAGCTTAATAAAAGTGCATACAAATCCAAAGATTTCATAATTCAGACTTATTACATAAAATTAGTCAATATCTGACGACATGCTTAGGCTGATCATGAAGTAGTTGCAATGATAGTTTTGGAGGTAATTTTCAATGGAAGGTGGTGCAATCCGTAGGTGCTTTTCGTGCGTCTTGAAGATTCCCTGGTCCTTGCATGGTTGTTGACGGTGCCCTACATGTTAATAGAACAACATTATTGGTAATGTTATTGTTGTAGCAAAGGGCGACAAAACTTTATATAATTTTGTTTGGATATAAGAATTGATAGTACCTATGTGTTTTTATTACTGTTATCCTCTTGTCCTTCATAGTTGTTCATTTTCACATTGTTATCTGCAATGCTGTTTGATTGATGATGGAAAGTTAGATTGTGAATCTCATTTTTCTATGCGATATGAGAAGAAGCGCGTACTCTTGCTTATGCTTTTTGATAACCTGGAGATGCACTTGTGTATCCTGACGATGTTCATGTTGTTGACTGGCATGTAAACAGGAAATATTGTTATCAATGCATACTCTATTTGTTGACTGGCATGTAAATAGGTAGATGTACTTTTCAAAGAACTTCAATGATAAACAGGAAATATTGTTATCAATTAGTACCCCTCTTTGTTGGTGGATCCATCTTCTGTAAATTGGATGCTTCTTTTCGCTGAAGAGTACCTGCAACCAAAAATCGCCATTTGAATTCCATATTGAATATAAGCTGAATGTTCTTTAGTAGAACTTGAAAAGTATTACCTATTTATGTTTTTGTCGGTGTCCATAGTTGCAGATTGGCAAGGGGGAGGCATAGTATTGCCCAAGTGGACTTGTGTTAGGCTCTCTGGACTGCGAATAGGAAAAGTTTGGTGAACATTGTGTAGACAGAGGATGTAACTTCTATTTTGTGATTTATGGCAAACCTCTGGATGCTCTTTGATGACGATGGACTGTTCTCCAGGTCTTTGCTTGGAGTTGACTGGAAGTATTTAATGGTTTAAGTTAAATATTTTATGTAATACAATTGTAATTAGGATGGAGTTATTTTGTAAATTGATGAAAATTGTCTAACCTTTGTAGAGGGCAGTGTCTGTGCATTGTCAACTGGGAAGCTTTTCTTTATGACGTAACTTATGGGGAATCTGGAGACCAAATCAACCTTCATTCCTATATAGAACAATCTGGTTTTCCCAATGGCATTATCTAGGGCGGTCACATGTTCCGCGGTATCAACTTTCATGTTTTGAGAAGCTTGTATGGCATCTCGCTCAACCAGTTCTTCAGCAATTTTAGAGAAAGCAATGGCATCTAAATCTCCCGAGTCATCTGTAAGTGTTATTGGTAGCTTGTACCTAGAGAATTTGATAGTTGTTTATATGGAACAGAATATATAAATGAAGGCAAATGTTGTATAAAAACAGAGATTGTACAGTGGCTTTGGAGATGAATTTGTGCAAAGGCATGTTGGAGTATCTGAGTTGTTGTTGTATCCTCTGTCACACCGTTTGCATCCTTTGTGGTACCATTTAGTTGAAGGTACAATAGATTTAACTTTCGCAATGGTGCTGTAGGTAGCTCCTTCCTAAGAGTTTGCAAAAAGGGTGCATTGAGAATTTGTTGTAGAAGTTCACTGATATACAAATAATAGGGTAGATAAGATGATGTTGACCTGAAAATTTGAGGTGGGCATATCTGATATTTGTTGAAGTGTGTACATTTTCCCTGCTGCTTGAATAGGAGATAAATGCATAACCTGAGGTAGTTGTTGTCGCAGAGCTGGAGATTCCCATTTATAGCTTCAAAAAGAATTAGTGAGAAAAATATCAGCATGTTAGATTTTGGAAAAAGAAGGTAGTAGTTGCAAATATAAAGGATGATCACTGTCCTGGTTTGGTAATTTTTAACTTCAGATGTATCCAAGTCAATGTAAACCTTTGTTGCAGAGGTTGAGGATGCATGCAGGGCACCTATATGTATATATGGTTACATGTCGTATTAGTTTTGGCTCTTATAGTCATTTTAAGAGAGAACATTTGAGAAGTTACCTAGAAAGCTCCCAGCTATGAGACCCGCAAAATGCCAACTGCAATGCCTTCTTGTGATTTTTTAAGTACAGCTTCTTCATCAAATGTTTCACCATGGTGGCCCCAAAGACGTATTTCTTGTGTCTGTTCACTGCATATGTGGAACAAACATTTGTTGACACAAAGTGTATAGGGATGGAAAAGTTTTAACACACTGTAGTAGTAGAAGAAACATACTCTAGGTTTCGAATTTTGATTTTCCTGAGTTTATTTGTAGACGTCTGACTTGCATAATCAAATGGCCCAATGTGGCTAATGACTCCTATTATATCTGGAGAGAGAAACCACATACAAAATTAATTTATGTGTTAATATTAGTATGAAAGGAAAAAAAGGAAATGCAAGTGCTACCTTGAAGTGGTTTTGCAAAAGTATCTTTTTCTGGTAGATTATCAAATGGACAAAAATTGAAGGAAAACTTTGGTATATTTGTCCCTTTGGTTTCAAGACGGTGAAGCTTAGTGTTGTGCTTGAATTGCAACATATAGTCTTGGTGGTGATATATATGGGTTTTGTTTTTTATATCAACAGCTGCAATATCATTAAAGATGTAGACATGTCCTTCTGTGAGTAAGGGGCGGAATTGTCTTTGAAATTTTTTGGGTACACTGATCTGCGCCATATTGCCCTGCCATAATATTCGATGATGATGTGAAAATCATTAGTACATTTGTACAATAATATGATTATTATGTTGGGAATAGAAATATTAATGATGGACTTACATCTTCATCTAAAAGGACACCATCAATGCTGATGAGAGGATCTGCAAACTTGGATTTCATGTTTATTGCATCCCATAGGCGTAAGAGTCGTCCAAATACCTTACAACTCTGTTGACCAAGAGTGATGGTTTTAAGGGTTGTAGTGGATTCCATTGAGTATTCCTGAAAGGGAAGCAAGTAACTGCATAATAACTATGTATTAAATGGAGAAATAATTATGTAGGGTATACACACTTGAATGTAGGAAATTCCTTTATTCAGTTTCATAGTCTATTAATTTGACTAAAAACTTCAGCATAGACTACATTATGGGTGCAATTCTCATAAAAAACTGGACTATTTTCGATTAGAACTCTCAACCCCTTCGGTGAAGTAACTCTGGAAAATGCTACATATAATTGACCATGAGAGAACACTGGAGATGGCAAATAGACTCCAACTCTATTTAAGGTTTGCCCTTGACTCTTGTTTATGGTCATTGCATATGAAAGGCGCACGGGGAACTGGCGCCGTCTCAATTTGAAGGGCCACCTTGAGTGAGTTGATGTTGTGACAATGCGTGGGATATATACTTTTGAACATGTAGCATTCCCTGTTATGATTTCACCTTCAATCACACGATTTGTCAATTGGGTGACAATCAGCCTAGTACCATTACAAAGTCCCCTTGATGGATCAAGATTGTGCAAAAGCATAATTGGAACACCAATCTTCAAGTGCAACTTATGGTCAGGAAGTCCGGGCATCAGAATTGTGTTTAGAAACTCTGTTGGGTATAATGCTTCAAGAGTGGAATGATTAGCAGTGCTATCATCAATTGAATCAGAACTATAGTAAGACATTTCAGACGTTTTTAGCTGAGCAATCATTCTGGTATTTATATCTGAAACCACCTCATTTGTAGGTGCTAAAATTGCACGTTGACACAAATATGATGAAATATTTGCTGGCTCAGAACCTAAGTCATAGACAAATGATATCAATCCATCAAGGTTCCTACAATCTGATGATAGAAGCAAAGACTCTGGAATCTTTATAAATGAGTTACTGGAATCATTTGGGACAGAAACAATAGGTTTTGTTCCATTGCCCACCCTAAGAAGCCATTCAGCAAAATTACTTAGCTCCTCTTTGTCTGAGGTGGAGAGATTTCCTGACTTCAGCCTCATATTTTCAGTTAACTGGAGAAGCTTACATTGTCTCCATAAATAAGAATTAACAATGCATGACCTTAGAATTTGGGATTTTGTTGCATTCTGTATTACTGGAAGTGTTTGTCGGAAATCTCCACCAAGCACAATAGTTATACCACCAAATTGCTTATTTTCTGCATTTTGCCTTGTTTCTGATAATATATCTCTAAGTGTACGGTCCAATGCTTCAAAACAATATCTATGATTAACAGGGGCCTCATCCCATACAATAAGAGAAGTTTTTTGGATAAGTTCTGCTAAGTGAGTATTTTTCTTTATACTACACATGGAACTCTAAGAAATGTCTAAAGGAATTTTAAAACGGGAATGGGGGGTTCGACCCCCTGGTAGCAGTAGGGAAGCAATTCCTGATGATGCAACTGCTAATGCAATTTTCCCTTTGCTTCTTATAGAATTAAGCAAAGTAGTCCATAAGAAAGTTTTTCCAGTTCCTCCATATCCATAAACAAAAAATGTTTGACCTTCAGCATTCATTACAGAATTGTAAATAGCATCAAAAACATCTTTCTGGTTGTTGTTCAGCATTGAAAGGTTGTCATGTAAAGTGGCAGTCATAGCAGGCACATCATAATTGAGCTCATCTAGTAGTAGCCTATTTTGTCCAGAAATATTAGCAGTGTCATCAGGTAGCGGCAAATTAAAATGGGATAAACAATATCCTGCATCTCTTAGCAATTTATCCAATTCATTCAAAAGATAAGATGAAATATATATATCGGCCAAGGGATTGCTAGCTTGACCATGGTTCTGACTCAATTGATGGGCTGCATCTTCAGACATTTTTGACGCGTGGTCATCAAAAAGTTCTCTAGGATTTGTTACCTCACAAAAGAGCAAAACTGTGACAAACAGTTGGCGTAACTGGTAAGGCATGGCCCATTGAGCGGCATCTTTTAAGGCATTGGACCATTCTTCATCATCACCAAGGAGACCTAAAGCCTCACATGCATCACGAAATGTAGGATATTCATGGCCATTTATAGTTCTGATTTGAGGGAAGGAGGTTGGACCTTTGACAATGTTGAGCAACAAACGTAGATAGTGAAGGTCCACTTTGGAAGGGTTGACATAAGCAATTCTGCCAATTCTTCTAGAACCACGACGATAATCCCAGTATTTGCCATTTGAGTTGGAGTGCCATGTAAAATATTCAGGAAATTCTATGTAGGTGTATTGTTTAGCCAGAGGGTGTTGCATATTAGCTTCTAACCATGCAGTCAACTTAGTCGTCATATTCCTTGGATTTTCAATCACTTCTTCAAGGTCATCATCTTCTGAGTAAATTACATTATTCTCAAATGGAAGATGAACTGGGAGTCTTTCTACGGAAGGGTCTGCATAGTGAATATCATACTCTAGCAAGCGCCAAGCAGCCTCATTTGGTGTAATACAGCGACATTCTAGATAATTTTCTATTTCATTGACTGTTTCACTTGATGAATTGGATGATCCAGAATTTGAATGGATTTTAGTTCTGGCAGAATCAAATCCTTTTGTGACATACTTGAAAAGATATTTGTGCATGCCAACATGATTAACCTTCTCTACATTTATGTGAGCTTGATATTTAACTACCAAGTCGACATTGTGAGGAACAACAAATCTGTTATCAATGTCAACTCCATTTTTGTTGACAGCTATTCCATTGTTTGGCCTTGCATATTGTGTGAAACCATTCTCCAATATAGTTGTTTGCTCACAAAAATCTTTAGGATAGAATTTTGTGCATTTTCCTTCAGACATATTGGGAGATTTACTATTTAGATTTCCACAGGGCCCGTGTATCATGAATGACGATACAGCATCATAACCTATTGGATCATTTTTAGGATCTGGCAACTGAGCCGAAATAAGAAAGTCTATCTTTTTCGCATCTAGGGGTTCATCTTTGGATAACCATATGATGATATGGACATGAGGAAGTCCACGTTTCTGAAATTCAATGGTGTAGATAACTACAAAAGACAGGAATGTTATTTACGTAAAGGAAATGTTGGATTCGGGCAACATTAAATCAATTAATGATGTGGGGAGACAAATTACCTGCATTCGTTGGTCCAAAGAATTTTTTCTTTTTAATATCATCCATTAGCATATTTAGCTTCATTTTGAATACCCTATTGACAATATCTGGACGGCCAGAAGGTTGTTGCCCTGGAATGGATGATAGAGCCTCTACTATCTCAGGCCAAGCTGCATTTGAAGTGAATGTGACAA